ATAGTTTTGAAGTCTACAGATATATCCTATCAATATCTTTCAGACAGTTGCTCTGGTTGGAGAAAGTGGGAGTGGAAAATCAACAGTGATATCATTGTTGCAAAGATTCTATGATCCTGATTCTGGTCATATTACACTTGATGGAGTTGAAATTCAGAAGCTACAGCTTAAGTGGTTGAGGCAGCAGATGGGTCTTGTTGGCCAAGAACCAGTTTTGTTCAATGACACAATTCGTGCCAACATTACGTATGGAAAGGAAGGAAATGCAAGCGAGGCAGAGATATTAGCTGCTTCAGAATTGGCCAATGCTCACAAATTCATTAGTAGCTCGCAACAGGTTAGAACATCATGCTTTTACTGCACTCTTAAAATTTATATGCATTCAACTACTCTGTTAATTTATTTTGTTGGTTATATCTTTGTTTTTGGTTGATTGCCCTACAAGAAAATGAGTTGGAATGTGTAATCTATTTACTCATAATCAACAAAGAAGCTCAAAATTTTTCAGGAGATCTACCATGACCAAGGGTAGGGAAATTATTTTTGGCAATATATATAATCATTAATGAGACTGGCAGAATGTCGATTCCAAAAATATCAATTATGACAATAGCAAGAAAAAGCAGAAGTTTCAGACATTTAATTTGCGTGGCATGCCTGTGCTATATTTATATGCGCCAACCTCTGTTTTCAATTCCACAAGCTAGGGCCAAACAATTACTTGGAAGAGTTATATTATGCATAGATTCTAATTCTAATAAGAAAAATTACAGGGATATGATACAGTAGTTGGAGAAAGAGGTGTGCAATTGTCAGGTGGGCAAAAGCAACGTGTAGCTATAGCTAGAGCTATAATAAAAAATCCGAAGATATTGTTATTAGATGAAGCAACCAGCGCCCTTGACGCCGAATCAGAGCGTGTGGTTCAAGACGCGTTGGATCGGGTGATGGTGAATCGGACAACAATAGTAGTGGCTCATCGGTTATCTACTATCAAGAATGCAGATGTTATAGCCGTTGTTAAAAATGGAGTTATTGTAGAGAAAGACAGATTTTATGCCTCTTTGGTAGCACTTCATATGAACAGTTCAAGAAACTAGTTATATTTGTTGTTTTCTGATAATTGACATTTACTTCAGGTAACTAATTAATTCCAGTCTTAAGTGATTCTGTATTTTATTAAACACAAATCTATACCCTTAAAATATCTAAAATTTATATAAGGGTTTTAATTGGAGTTTTACCAAAGAAATCCTTCAATTATGAATTTATTAATATGTAAAAACGTCATGCATGACGAAACGACACCAAGTATCACAACCTCGTTTCCAAAGAAACGACAAAGGGTACGGATCATATCAGACAGTGTTTATTAATTGTAGAAAACTAATTAATTAACTTGACAATTCAACAATTTACCTAATCACATTAATTAATTAGTCTAACAAGCTATCGTGACTGATGTGCTTACCTCAACCAACAAACACTACAACACGTGTGACACTCTGCCCTTTTACTATAATAAGAAAATAGAGCCACAGGTCTACTTGAATTACATAAATACCCACCAGACAATATTAATTCAAATTTTTTTTTTTAAATCACCAACGAGAATCTGACATTCTGAGAAAGACAAGAAGATATATAAAATACAACTCTAGATAGATACACTGCTCACTACATACCCACCCAAGAAGTCAGATGTTTGCAGTCCCTGACTCAGATTTCTCAAGAGTTGTTTATTTTTTGTTAGGTCAACAAAAAAAAAAAAAAAGAAATTGTATGTCAAAGGCTACAATTAGTATATGACTTACGATGGGCTTCATTGATTATTTTATGTTCTAGTTCATATTGTAAAGAGAACAGTTTTTCTTTTCTTTTAGATTTAACTAAATAAAATAAAATTTTCTTATCCTCAAAAGGCAAAATCTTCCTATACGTAAGACATCACCCAGAAACTTCATTAACTACTATAAGCCTAAAACAAAATGCACACGTACCCCAGACCTTTATTTTCCAACCACCCAGATTTCTTCCTATCATCACAGAAGACTCATGTTCACCAAGGTCCAGGGCCCTACTACTTGCATTGACATTACACAATTGACAATTTACTATTTCCCAACAAATAAGAAAAGGAAGAAACAAATAAGAAGTTTTGAGTTCAGGATTTACCAGACTCAGCTACAAAAATAGCATCCAATAGTCCAATGGGAGATCAGATCCCCTTCCTTTTCGGGTAGAGTGCTCTGTTTGATTACCGAGAAAACAAGTCATGAGTCCAATGCAGTGATACACCAAACTTACAGGCCTCCATAAAATTCATAGTAGATCAAGTATGAATATCCACTGAAACATATGGGAAAAGGAAAAAGGAAAAAGGAAATGTTCAACCAATTTAAAGGAATTCAGCCTCACAAACCACTGCAACTAAGAGAAAAAACTTACGAGATTTTCACTTCTATTTTTAAGAAAAGTTACATCATAGAAATAAAAATGTTCATTGAAAAGAGAGAACGAAGACTTGTTTTCTTCTGAAAAAGAAAATAATAAAATAAATTTTCCTTAAAAAATCATAATAAAATATAAACACTTCAAGTTACTACATATAGAGTTGGGAGAGAAGCACTTTTTTCCCTCACGGGGCTGTTTATAAATAACTAGTAAACAACCTACTTGTACAAGTGTCAAACATGTAGAAGGTAGAGTGATGCTTGCTACACAAAAGGCCCTAGCTTCAGGCCTTTACAAATAATTGTGCATGCACTGTATACAGAGAACAGAATTTAAGAAATTGAATTAATCAATTACAACCCTTCATGAGAGATTACACATAAAATTGCTAGTCATCGTCCTCACTTTCATCACTGTATGAAACTAAACCTGAGGTAACAACATCATGGGATTTATTAGTATCGCCATTAGGAGTTTTTGTGGAATCTGAAGATTTCTTGGTACTACTATCGAGTTCTTTTGCTGTGTCTGAAGGTTCTTGAACACTTTCCTGATCCATCTTTGCTTTTTTTCTCTGCGGCTTAACTTTTATAATCATATTCAATGGAGCAGCGGCCGGATGCTTCTTCGCAACAGAAATTTGTGACTGTACATGCAAAAAGGCAGAACAAAGCAGCACTTAGAAATAAATTATTTTGAGATAATAAAAATGATAGCACTAGTCATTGGTGGTGGACATCAAAAGCAAAAGCCACATCACGCTTAACTGCTCAAACAAAGGTCAATATGAGAATTAACCTGATAAGTCAACTTGATTGCCCAAATATATGAGACAATTACTAGAATAAACCTTGAATCTTTATCAAATCCATTCGTAAATCCAACTTAATTCAAGTAGAAAATGATGAAACTCTTAACTTAAAATGACAAAAAATGACCACATAGAACTCATACAGAATTGAAATAATGCATTCTAAAGCCCATATTGATGCCATTTGGAATATATAAATCTAATTTCACGTAAAAATTCATATGAAGTCAATATATTCTTTATGATAATATGAATACAGTCTTTTAGTTAACCTAAGAAAGAATTTTGTACAAGAAATGGAAAAGTTTGAGGTCTTAGCTATATTGATTTTTTTTTTCTGAAATGTATATTGACAATTTAGTCAATAGGATAATGGTAGTCAATGTGATAACAGAGGTGGTCAACTGCAGGGTAGCCCTCAGCAGGCGCCGACAGTGACCAGCAGTGTTTAGTGGACAATGATAGAGGTAGCCAGAGATTTGCCCAGAGCTGGGCAATGACTGGTAGAATGATATTAGTTTGTGGTGGCCTGAGGTAAGCCCAATCAAGAGTAGGTAGGAGCCAACAAGGATCAATGTTATAGACTATAACAAAATTTAGACATCATGAGTATTTTTGTACTCTGTAAGTTTTGAGTTACAAAAACAGATCAGACATATCAAACAGATCAAGAAATTAGACATATGAAAGATTCAGTTAGAATAAAGTCTAATTGGCTACAAGGAAGTCTCTATTTTATATTTAGTTTTATATGGAGTTGTTCATTTATGAGAAACCTTAGGAGTAGTTTTATACTCTTATCTTATGCTGAAAATGCATTATAATCAGTTCAGGCAATAAAAGCATTATGAAAAATTATTAAATTTTCAAGTATTCTTACTCAAAGATAATGTTGCATGCTCCCACAACAAGCCCAAACCAAAAAGAAAACTCCAGATGCAGTATTCTACAAATATCTTTATGATTTTTCAGTTTCAAACCTATAACCAGATCCAGAACTAAGGAACAAACAAAATGGTAGCAGTGTCTGGCTCTGGGTGCTTTGCGTTCTTTTCGAAAACGATTTGAGTCTTCCTCAAATTGTATTAGGCTGACACAGTGCAAGACCATCTAAAAAGAGGGAAAGATTGCAATGCTCAGTGTAGTATCACAAATTATCATGTCATATGGAGTTGTCGCTTGATATGTCAACTCTTCTCCAGGAGGAGATTGACGAATATTCCATGGAAACATTTCAACGGTAACGCACTTTAAGGTTTGGCCCATCCATCTGGAGCACCAAATCAAAAGAGTTGGCGAAGACAAGACAGAATGGGTCGTGGAAAAATACAGGCAGCAATTTAAGCAGTTGGTGGCTAGGTCTCTCATTCCTGATCAAGTTAAGATTTTCTTGAGTGGGTTGCAGGATTGGTTCACAGTAAAGGTCATCCTCCGCATCTAACCAGCAATGTGAGGTTGGTGCATCTGCATTTGAGCATGGGAGATCGCAGCATTCACAATTCAACGAGTTTTTGGCACTCTTTACCTAGATTCTCTTCTAACCCATGTCAGCTTGTGAAAATGTTGTCTAGGGTATTGATGGGAGATTGTAGACTGAAGGATTGTGCTTTCACTGTGATGAAGCTAGATGGTTGGACATCAATGAATAAAGAAGCTGCTTTTGTTGGAGGAATTGGCCGATTCGAAGATTAACAGCAAATCAAGCCTAAAAATTCAGTCACGTTTTCCAATAGACACTTGAGGAGGACAAGCACATTTTAAAGGAGAGAAATATGCTATGGGCTATAAGAAAAATAAGAAAAATTACTATTTTAATCATTGATTATATCACAAAGAGGTCCCAAAAACTTTTTCATTATATTTTGGTCTTTGAACTTGTAAAACTATTTTAATCCAATTGTTTACTTATTTTGAAAAAAAAAATTAATTCAATTTTTTACTACAATTGTAAAAATATTGACAAAATTTGCTTTTGTTTGCCAGTATTTTATTTCTGTAAAGTTTAAAAGTTATAACAATTGAGGCCTTGATAAACTCAATAAGAAACTAATTTTGTTTTATTTTAAACATACTAGTGATGATAATAGACAATAAGGAAAAAGAGAATGCCTGCAACCATTTTCTAGAAATTCTTTTTTCAAAATTTCATGTTAAATACATTTTTTTGAAGGGTGACTTGGACAATTTTATTAAAGCAAGAGAATTATTACAAGAAAAGTAGGGCCTTCCGTCACTCAAGATGGAAATAACTTTGATTGTCTCTATTAAAAAGTTTCATTGAAAAATCAAGTTTTAAAATGATTTCACAACTTCAATGTCCAAACTGTAACAAAAAAAAAAAAATTTCTGAACTTAACTACAACATAAGCAATAATTGAAGAATAAAACTAATAATTTATCCTAAAAATAAACAGCAGCTAAGAACATGTCAACACTTTCTTTATTGTTTTAGAACTTCCATTAGTTTCAACTTCTTAAGAACTTCTTGATCTTTCTGGTTGTGTGCTACAATCAAATTCTCAAGTATCATGTTTAAGAGTTCTTACGTGTGATATCTAGGATTATCTTCAAATTTTAAAGTTGGAAAATTAACCATACTTTTTTCTAGATCACAAAAAATAATCTTCAAAGTGCCCGTGTGTCTTAGCCCAAAGACATGCCAAAAAAAAAAACAATCTATCCAAAAGAAGCAAAAGGGAGAGAAATGGTCCCTAAAAGTCTAGACTTCCTCTCCAACCAATTCACCCACAACCCAACAGAAAAAGCTTTGCACCAAAAAGACTTAACCTTCTTTGTCCTATAAACACCACGAAGAGCAGAAGAAAGAAATGCCCGCAGATAAGAAAGAGAAACTCACAAAACTCAAAGACTGTTATGATTGTTATCGAGATATTATGTTGATACAAAGATTCAAGATCACTGCTTTGGGTTCCTTGTTAACCTTTCCTGAGTTTGTACACAACTCTCTTTTCCTACATCAACTACCCTATTTGATATGGAATCCACATTTTGTAGGGTAGTTCACTATCCTCCCTGCCAAGCTTCCCGAAGACAATATAGGATTAGTGTACGAACTCAACAAACATGGACTTAACGTAGATCACAAGGTCTGGAAACAGGACATACATGAATTTTTTCTAAGTACAAGAATATAAATAAGCTTAATAGGAAACTCACCTTGACTGCAGGAGGTGCCGGGTTTTCCTTCAGTTCTTGCACAATAGTTGACTGTGCTGTCACTGCTGCCTGAAGAAGAAAACCCCACAAATACCAATAGATATAAATCAGAAAGTGAACCATGAGAACAAGTAACTTTTAACATAATTATGTAATATCCTATTGCTATGAAGACATCTCTGTACCCTGCAGAATCTAGCACTAAGTAGAAAATAACTTCATACGCAATGAACCTAGTATTTTATTGTTTTAGCAATAACACAAAGTGATAACATATACAGTTATACGTAACACACAATATTCTCACCAAAGATTAAATTGCTATACAAGAATAAAAAGAAAAAGAAGATCAAACTTGTTACTGTCTCTTTCTTGATGAAGCAAATGCAGCCTTTTCAAGTGCTCTTTTAAGATTCTCAAACCACAAAGGGACACATTCTAATATCGTAGAGTATTCAAACAAGACAGTCTATTGCATACATTGAGAAATTGCAAACTACAAAACCTACAATAACAATTAAGTGAATTACAAAGTCAAAGAAAAACTCAGAACTGTTTCACCAATCAGTTTTTACCTTATTGGAGGAAAGGAAAGGAGTAATAGCCCATGTTATGAAATTTTCAATCTAAGAGAAATTTCAATTTTTCCAGATTCAACAGAAAAGTTACCTGGAAACTTCGTAGCTGTTCAGCTTCTTCATCTGCCACTTGTTGTTCATATTCCCTCCTTGACTAATGAACAACAAAAACATGATAAGAGAGTAACATAAACAATTTCTGATAATGAGCACAAGCAAATAATAACATTCTTTTCATAAAGGGCGGAAGAAACAAGGCACAACTATTTCCTTAAGCATTTAAACAGTTGTGCTAAAACAGTTTGATTTCTTCTCAAAAAATATTTGCAGTTCAGGATACATCAGGGAAAAAAAAGAAAAGAAAAACTAAAAATTGACACGAATTACGTGCCCAACAAACATTCTATTGACATTTAAAAATCTAGTTAATTAAACTCAAATTCAAAATGTTTCAAATGCTAGAAATAAAGTCAGATATTTAATTATATCATAATGGCCTCACCAACTCTAATTTATCGAGAAACTCAGTCTCATCTTCATCCAAAGCTTTTGGTGGCCCTGCAATGAAGGAAGTGGTCCAAAAAGTCTTTTAAGTGACCAATGATTTATCCCCACTAGTAACCAGGGAAGGCAAATTCCTTTATACTGAGTCAAGCCAAAAATGAGCAGTGAAAATGTCCCTTTGCAGCAAGAAATCCCAGCGCACAACTAGCACAATCGTGTGGCGTGATAACAAAGCAGAAATAATAGAAAAGGTGTCTTTTAATCCTTAGAAACAGGTTGTTGTATGCATTATGAAAGAAGGAAAAAGTGGAAGTTTCAGTTATCTTTTAACACCTTGTGAGCAAGATTAAGTACCATAATGATTAAGTGCCATGAACTAAGGCGCTCATCAATACCCCCCCCCCCCCCCCCCCCCACAAACTTGCAATATAAGAACAGTGGAACAAAAGAATACTGGTCATACTACAGATTTCAAAACTCACTGTGCTTGAATCGTTCATTAAATTCTGCATCCTTCTTGTCTTTATTCTCCTTTAGAATCTGCATTGAGGGGAAACCTTTTTAAGAAGTAAAATTATTGAAATCTTACGAATCAAAAGGAAACTTTCTAGAAATTCAATGGGCAAAACCTAAACTTCAGTTAACTGAAGAAGTACAAAACGATAGTATTACTTCACATTCACATGCTACTGATGAGTGAAAAAACTGACAAAAGAATCATCTATATGCCAAAAAAATTAATTCTCAGTAAATGCAAAATGCACCTGAACGAGATATTCAATAAAATTGGAAAAGTCTCAATGAAACATGCGGGAACATTGAATTGCGGAAACATTGAGTTGAAGCATCATTCGACTAAAATGTTATTAACATCAGATAAACTTGCTCAAACCCAAGAACGATAAAGAAGATTAATTTTTTCAAGTAAAAAGAAAAAAGAGAGGCAAAAACCTCATAGAGAGTCCTATCCCTCTGTAGAGTGCCATCTTCTACCCGCGCCCCTCTCGTTCTCTTAGCTTCATCTAACTGCCATGGACGACGTTAAAAACAAGATTAATTAAAATATACTGAAATTTAGGGCTTAACGATTAGGGGAGAAAATAAAAAGTAAAAAAACAGTCAAGAAAGAACTACCTGCTCCTCGGAAACGAAATTCATTAACCTGATAGGCTGGCTTGATTCTTCAGCCATCTTTGCTCTGCACTTTCACGCCTCAAAATCAAACGGGTCTTTAATCACTGCTTTTAATTAACAAGACGGAAATCAAATAGTACATGAGCGGAAGCATGTTACTCATCGGGGCTGCACCTTCAGCGTCCGGAACGCCAGGATTTTTGGCTTGGGGACGACGAAATTATCAGATTGCATTTGCACCAACTGGGCCTTGGGCCATCACGAGATTTCTAGAAGTGGATTAATAGTGTTTTATTGGGCATGTAAACACAAGCCTTTAGCTCTGATGCAAAAAGGTAGTTTAATGGGCTGTTTGACTGCAACTCCTGCGTTTGAAATAGTTTCTACTAATAACAATAGCTTTCCAATTAAAATTAATAGAGTCCATATTTTAACAAATTTGGGATTCCCCCCTACATTGAATGGTTTAATCTCAGTTACTACTATAATTATTATTTTTTATTTTTTTAATAATATAAAAAAAATAAAATACAATATTCAACTTTTAAATTCATTGAAACTTACTTATAAAAACATCACTCACACATACGTACAAAATAAAACAGTAAAAATAGATATTGTCATATACATCATGATGAAGTGGTACTCTTTAGCTGTTCATCTTACATATAATAACATTTTTATTACTATATAGTTTTATTAGAAACCATTATAATGAATCAAAATATTAGATATTGTCTCATAATATTTTAATTTATTTCTCGCATAGATTTTCGTCCATTATATATTTTATGATTCGTTATAGTTTTTTGTGAATTGAGTGTATTAATTGCATATTAAGTAAATTTTATTGTTTCTTATAAAATAAAATAAAATTGTTTACTTTTTTAATTATAATATAATAAGAGATAACTAAAATTTCTAGATAAATATTCATTATATAATAGATAATGACATTTTTTTGCTAACATAAAATTACCATAGGTGAATCTAAAATATTTAGTGTAATAAAAAATTGGCTGTCTTTATTATCATAATAGAATATTATGATTAGTCACTAGTCAATTTTTATCACTTAATATTGCTATTAGGTAAAATATTTTTGTTTCATGGTCTTACAGTTTTTAACATTTAATATATTATAATTTGTGGTAGATCCTCTTCATAATGGTTTGAATTGAAACTTGTTTGTATCCTATATGATAAATTCATTTATAACCACCAATTTAGTTGATCTTTTTAAGTCCAACAACTTTTTTACTAATAATTTTGTCAAATATTTATCTTTTTACTCAATAATTATAATTTTATTATTATTTTTCTTCAAAAAACTCAGATGCTACCTTATATCGATTTTTTAATTTAAAATTATATTGTTGTATGTATCAAAATATATTTTTGATAAGTTTAAATTCAGAAGTTATAACGTGTAGTTTTTTAAAAAATAATTTTAATTTTTATTAAAAATTTATACTTAAAATTTAAAAAATCAATTTCATTAGATATTCAATTTTCAATTTTTTATATTAATAATATTGTTTACAATTATTTTTACTAAATAATAAATATTTTTTTATTAAAATTATTTTTAGTAAATAATTATTTTAACAATACATTTACAAATATAACAGTCCAAAAACACCAACTTAATTTATAAACAATTATTCTAATCAATTTTTTTTACGATTAAGTAAACATATTTTGATCTATATATTTATGATGATATTTTTTTATACACTACTTTTTGCTTGTATTTTAAATAATTTGTTGGAAAAAATTAGAAAAGTAAATATTGACTACTTGTTTAAAAAACTTACAATTTGGTTGCATTAGTTACCCAATTACCTAGTCTTATCACAGCCATGAGGTGACGCCATTTCTCTTCCTTTATTCTACGTTACAGGAAAGTTGTTTGATTAAAGAATTGCATATAACGTATGGTTTCCAATTTTGTTTTACCTTCATTATGGATTCTAATCTCTACTTTAATTTGGAAAACAAAGGATTGAAAGGGAAAGGAAATAGGAGGCTGAAAAGGCTAGCCACGTGGGAAGAGGTCTTTGTTTATTTGGCTTAATCTCAGCTGTCCATCTTTAGGAAGAGATCATCAGACGTCTCTCATTAAAATACTGACGCGAGACAAAGACGTGAGGACTCTGGCATAATGGTAAACATCCACGAGGTTGTAATATCAAAACCTCAAAATCTTCCATGTAAACATTAGATATCCATCAACCACTACTTACCCGCCACATGTCCTAAATGGATACTTTTTCCTTCCTCCTCGTACCAGGATTACTAAACTGAACTTTCCTACTCAGAAGGGGAGAGCAATGCATGTAAATTGCTACCCTGTTCAAGATATAAAGAAAATTACTATTTGCTTCAACAACTCTCCTGTATTCTGCAAAGTTTTTGAAGAAAAAATAATCTTTTTGCCTCAATAACTCTCAACTTTGTAGCCGTAAAATCTCTTATCCCGTTCATCATCTCTCGAGATTTAATATATGGAAGTCACTAGAATTGTTAGCTGGTCTTTTATACGCATCACTGGCACTAAAATCAAGACCGCCAACAACAATGTGCATGTGGGTGTCAGAGATTTTAGAGTTTCAATGAGACCCATAAATTGTTTTAGGGAAATAAGGCATCAATTCTTAGATTTTGCGCATGTGCAGTATTATGCATCACCCAGATGTGATACCAAGAAAAAAGAGAAGAGAATAATTTGGAGAATAAAAGAGTGAAGAAGAATTTGAAACTTATTTAGAGGTTGTCCAAGAATCTATCCACGATTTCTGACTTGGTTTACGACCAGAAGATTGGTGATAGTTTGGTCGGTGGAGTTAGGGTGAAGATGATTTTGGTAAGAAACTAGATCTTGCTTCTTGTGTTTTCTTTTCCAATTTAGTTAACTATTATTATGAGAATTTGTTTTTGGATTTGAATTGATGTGGTTTACTACCAGACAGTTTTGTGTTCTGTTCTTAATGGAGATTTATCTTTCAACTTTGTAAATAATGTAGTCAATAATTGTTGTCTGATAAAAGAGTTCCAAGAAAAGAATAGGAAATTAATTAGAAGACTGACTTGATCTTTCTTTTCCATATAGGAAGCAGCAGATATTATCATTGCACAGTTGAAGAATATGAAAATAGAACAAAAGGAACTGAAGAGAAGGATGAAAGCCAACTTAAAAGAAGAATCATCGGACTCGTCATCATCCTCGAGCTTCTCCTCATATGACAGTGAAGATGGGGAGGTGATGGACATGAAACAATGAAGCATCACTTGAAAAGAGAAAGGTTTTATTCCTCTCAAAAATATATCATTCAACCAGTATACAAAGAGAATTTATAATACAATTGAGCTAGAAACTAGAAGGTAAAAAAGGAAGAAAAAATAAGGAGACTAATTAAGAGAGACTAATTAGCTATAAACTAAATAAGAAAAGATTTACAATAATTGTACAATCTCTAACATAGGAAAGAAAGAAAGATGGAAGGAGAGAGAGATTTGAGGAGAGAAAATTTCAACACTCCCCCTCAAGTTGGTGCATAGATATCATACATGCCCAACTTGTCCAGATATTTTGAGAATACTTTAGTTGAGACCATCTTAGTTAGAATATTAGCCAATTGATCTTCAGATCGAATCTTTGGCAATTCAAAAGTTTTATCTTCTGACTTCTCCTTGATGAAAAATCTATCCACCTCAACATATTTTGTTCGGTCATGTTGGACTTGATTGTGAGCAATGTCACATGCAGCTCTATTGTCACAGTACAATTAAATTGGTCACTGAGTCGAATAACCCAACTCTTGTAGAAGGAGCTTCAGCCACGAATCTTCACAAAGTCCAAATGCCATACCCCTACATTCAGTTTCTGCACTTGAGCGAGCAATAATGTTTTATTTTTTACTCCTCCAAGTAACTAGATTACCTCATACAAATGTGAAGTAACCTGAAGTCGATCTCCTATCATCTTTTACTCCTGCCCAATCAGCGTCTGTGTATACCACAATATCTTGATAGTTCGTAGTTTTAGTGAACAATGTTCCTTTTCCAGGAGTAGATTTTATATATCTCAAAATATGCATGACAGCATTCATATGTTGTTCACTAAGATTGTGCATATATTGACTTACAACACTCAATGCATTGACAAGATCTGGTCTCGTGTGTGCTAAGTACATCAACCGTCCTACAAGTCTCTGATATTTTTCTTTGTCAATTGGCACTTAATCTGTTTCAATACATAACTTCAAGCCTTCTTCTACTGGAGAATTAACTGGTTGACATGCTGACATACCAGTTTCTTATAATAAATCTAATGTATATTTTCTCTGAGATAAAAGAATACCATTTTTATATCTAGAGACTTTAATTCCAAGAAAATATTTCAAGGATCCAAGGTCTTTCATTTCAAATTCTTTTTACAAGTATTCCTGTAGTGCCTTTCTTTCTTCTGCATCATTTCCAGTGACTATCATGTCATCTACATATACAATAAGGCAGTGATTTTGCCATGTCGTTTCTTCAAAAACAAAGTATGGTCTGAGTTGCATTGGTGGTATCCGAATGCTTTCATAAACTTTATGAATCTTTCAAACCATGCTCTTGGAGTTTGTTCAGCCTATATAATGATTTCTTCAATCTGCACACCCTTTTGCTATGTCTTTCTGGTATCATACATCCTGGGGAAGTTCCATATAAACTTCTTCAGATAATTCTCCATGTAAAAAGGCATTTTTGACATCAAATTGTTGTAGTGGTCAATCCAAGTTTGCAGCTAGAGACAACAATGCTCGTACAGTATTGATTTTAGCTACCGGTGCAAAAGTTTCTGTATAATCAATACCATACGCTTGTGTATATCCCTTTGCCACCAATCTCGCGTTGAATCGTTCAACAGTGTCATATACTTTATATTTCACAGTATAAATCCATTTACAACCCACTGGTTTCTTTCCTTTTGGGCAATCAACCAAATCCCAAGTTTTATTCTTTTACAAAGAACTCATTTCCTCATTCATAGCGTCTTTCCATCTTGGATCAGCTAATGCTTCCTGCACACTGTTAGGAATATATACAGTAGATAATTGATTCACAAATGACTGATTTGATTCAGATAGGTTTTGGTTACACACAAAATGACTCATAGGATATTTAACTTTGCTAGAGAGTTCAGGTTCATATGTGAGTTTATGAATACCTCTATTGATACGATT